GGGACCAGGCTTTTTGTGGACTGTCAGATTCATCAGGACTCTGTATACTGTGCGGGTTTCCCTCACAGCTCACTTGTTTCAGAACAGAATGCTAATCTTTTCTAAAACTCAAAGACAATGAGAAATATATATATATTTGCCAAGTGACTAAGTTGCCCAGGCTGGGCTAAAACTTGTGATCGTCCTGCCTCAGCCTCCCAGAGTGCTGGGATCATAGGTGTGCACCATCACCCCTGGCTTCAATGATTTTTAAGGCAGTGTTGCCTCTGGTATTCATTTTTCTGGTGTCTTCTTTTTTTTTCCGGTACCGGGAGTTGAACTCACGACCTTGCCCTTGCCAGGCAGGTGCTATGCCGCTGAGCTAAATCCCCAGCCCCTGCGGTGTCTTCTAAAAGAACAGTAACATAGAAAGAGTAGCATTTGCAGCATGACAGTGAGCCCCAGGCTCGTGTGGCCCTCTGCCCACACACGCCTGCACTAGCAGAGGAGGACACTTTCTGTTCTTGTTGACATGTAGTGTTCAAGTGCAGTATGAGTTCAAAATCTAAATATACCCTAGGTGATTGCAGTTTACACCGGAAGGCCAGCCGCACAAGCTGTAACTCCAAGGAGAGTGACTCACGTATTTTCCAGGGGGTGGCACGGGAGGCCACTCGCCCTGGCTGAAGGCCGCCGAAAAACTGCCAAGGGGAGGCGACAGCTCCCTGGAAGCCTAAGGAGTCTGCTCCTGATGACACAAACCTACGCCCATCCGGAGGAGGCGACCGGCCTCACTGCAGAAGCCTCTGTGGTGGAGGTGTTGTGAAACAAACTCTTGTCATGGTAACTTCTGTAGTTTTCAAATGCTTGAAAAATGAGCTACTCGGCAGAGTAGAAATAAAGTCGTTTTTCTTCAAAAACTGGATCATTAGTGCTATGGGAATACTATTGATCTGTCAGGCCTGAGTGTGTTTTACATGTGCACCAAAGGCAAAGTTTATTTTGGAGAAAGGGCCGTGGAAAACTTATAGCTGATTGTTCTTGCTATGTTCAGCTGCCTAAGCCAGAGAAAACCCTGGATTTTTTATTCCAATAGCATTAGCACTATTAGTTGTGAGTAGCCTTCACCTGTTTATCTCTAGCAAATTAATCTTACCCCTTTGTTGTGGTTGATACATTGTGTGAAGTTGAGAAGTCTAGTAGCTTAACTAAGTAACTCCGCAGTTCTACATCCTGGGGTAAAAAGGACGTGACCTTGCTGCTCTAGGATGCTGTTCATTGTGTCAACTTGAGAAGTTTAAAAGTTCAACTTTAAAGTGATTCACCAGGGGGTCAGGGTCCTTACTTTGTGAACATCCTCAGCTCCTGGAAGAGGAGGGCACAGAGATGGTGTGAGTGTGGGCGGATGGCCCATATACAATATAAGGAGGGAAAAGAGGCTCCCCCCCCCACCTTTTTGCTCTTGCTACTTTTGCTATCTTCTGCGGCCTTGAACTGTTGCCCCTCTGTCATGCAACCCTGCCTTGGAGCCAGGTGATTATAGACTGAAACCTCCACACTGTAAGCTAAATAAACCCCTTCCTTAATTTTGAGAGTTGGGCATTTTGTCTCAGCAAGCAGAGAAAAGTAACAAAGACACCCTTAATGAGATGTGTTCTAGGGCCCAGGAAGCTCCCACATGCACTAAAAGATCTCTTCTAGCTGGGCATGGTGGCACATGTGTGTAATACCAACACTTGGTCGGCTGAGACAGGAGGATTGCCACAAGTTCCAGGCCAGCCTGGGCTGCAAAATGAGTTCAAAGCCAGCTTGCCCTGCATAGTGAGTCCTTGACTCACTAAATAAATAGTTAATTAATTAATTAATTAATCAAAAATAAAAAGTTAAAGATCTCTTCTACTGGGTTAGTGTGGTACCTGAAATGCCTCTACTAGTGCTTCCCTCTGAAGTTCTCCTTTCAAGGCGTAGTGACGCACCCCTGTAATCCCAGCACTCAGGAGGCTGAGGCAGGAGGATTACCATGAGTCTGAGGCCAGCCTGGGCTATGCAGTGAGTTCAAGGCCTAAACTACATAGCGAGACCCTGTCTCCAAAAAACCAAAAATAAATAAAGCTCCTCCCTAGGGTTTCTTCTCTCAAAAGGAAGCTTCCTCCCATCACTGGAGGACACAGCGACAGTCTGACAGATGCAGCCAAGTGAAGAGAGTGTGTAATCACGTGATTTAGGACCCCTGTGAGTGAGCACGAGAGACAAGCACGCTCGCCAGGAGCAAGGCCCTGGTGGAAAAGGGAGAGAGGGTCAGACTCAACCTCCCACCAGGATGCAGCTCAGCACACAGTGCCTGCCTGGCAAGCACAAGGTTAGGAGTTCGATTCCCCGTACCAAAAACAAAAAAAAAGAATCAACCTCTCAGCTTCACCATCTTCAGGAAGAGGTTGACTGTGCTCCTTCCCGTCCCTGTGACACCAGGCTGATTCTGGGAATGGGCACTCAAAATAAGTCAATGTCAATAACTGCAAAGAAACAAAGTTTTGTGGCCGCGCACTGGATTGTTCTGGAGATCCTAAAGTGGACCAAATCAGTATTCTCTGTTTTAATTCAAAACCACCAAGGAAAAGATAAGATGGACCCAAACATGGGAAAGGACAGTACCTTGGTGTAAAAATGGCACATCGACTTCCCTTCCTCCAATTCGTCCTTCCTCTTCATTTGCTGGGCTCCGGTGGATCACCTCCTGGCTCCGGGACAGGGGTGCATGCTGTAGTTTCAGGGCCTTCAGACATGAAGGCCAAGCCACACTTGTAAAGGGACGGTGGACGTAAGGCTGCAAACCCAACTATGGGCGCCTGGACGCATGTCACACAAGGAAAAGCAATGCCTGTGGGCCTCACCTGGGGGACAGGGGGTCACAAGTGACAGAAAAAGGCAAGACAAGTTGAAAAACAAAAGTGAAAGCCAGGCGTGGTGGCCCATACCTGTAATCCCAGCACTCAGGAGGCTGAGACAGGAGGATCACTGTGAGTTCAAGGCCAGCCTACACTACATAGTGAGACCCTGTCTCACACACACACACACACACACACAAAAGCGGTTTAGAGTGCTTGAATGAATGAATAAGAGACAACTGGTGCAGTTAATAGGCTTGTTTTTCACTTTGGGAGAGGGAAGGGTACGCAGTCCTGCAAAGGCCTTCAGCCGGCCCAACTGAGCGCTCTGCCTAGCGCATCTCTGCAACCCCCTCAGACCAGTGGCTGCAGTGGGGGCGGGCTGCTTTCACCCCCTACCCACTGCAGCCCAGGCAATGATGCAACACCTGTCTTCTCGGGGAAATGAGAAGCCGCTTCCCGGAGGATGGCCAGGCGCTCCAACGTGGTCACATGGCCTCTTCCAAGAGGGGGCGGGAACAGGAACAAACCAAAACCCACACAGAGCTCTAGGAGGCATTTCTGTATCTGGGCTGCTGGCTGCTCCTGCCAGCTGATTCTCTCCCCTCTTGTGTACAAAATAGTCTGCCGCGTCCACCTGAGACTCAGGTGAGCAGAGCAGGGAAGAGTGGCAGGTAGTGTGAAACCTCAGTGCCTCAGAGCCCGAGATTGTTTTTTCTTTTTTTTTTTTTGAAGAAGGTCTCACTATGTAGTTCAGGCTGGACTTGAACTCACAACAATCTTCCTGCCTCTGCCTCCCAGGTGCTGGGGTTACAGCCCTGCACCACCATGCCCAGCTTTGTTGTGTTTTTTTTTTGTTTTTTTTTTTTGAGACAGGATCTCATCATGCAGTTCACAGTGGCCTTGAACACACTATGTATCCCAGGCTGGTCACACACTCTCAGAGATCCTCCTGCCTCAGCCTCCCTCATACTAGGATTACCAAAGTGTGCCACCAATGCCCAGTTCAGCCAGGTGATTTTTTTTTTTTTTTTTGGTTTTTGTTTTTTTTCCTGGTACCGGAAACCGAACTCACGACCTTGCGCTTGCCAGGCAGGTGCTGTGCCACTGAGCTAAATCCCCAGCCTCAAGCCAAGTGATTTTTTTTTTTTTAAGCCAAGTGATTTTTGACAAAGATGCTAACAATACATGCTGAAAAAAAAGGCAGTCACTCACACATGATGCTGGGAAAACTGGTTATCCCCATGCCGAAGAATGAATCTTTATCCATAGCTCTCACTCTGTACTAAAATAAAATTGAAATGAATCACAGATATATATATATATATATAAAACACTGAATCTACTGGAAGAAAAATTTGGTAAAGTTCTTGAAAACATAGGCATAAGCCAGGCGTGGTGATGCACACCTGTAATCCCAGCACTCGGGAGGCTGAGGCAGGAGGATCATTGGGAGTTCGAGACCAGCCTGGGCTACAAAGTGAGCTCAAGGCCACTCTGAACTCCATAGGGAGACCCTGTCTCAAAAAAAAAAAAAAAAAGAAAGAAAAGAAAAGAAAACATAAGCATACACAAAGACTTCTTATACAGAACCCCAGTTACACAAAAAGTATTACCAAAAATGAACAAATGGGATTATATTAAATTTACTGGATTTAAAAACTATGAAAACTGTTCTTTAAAAACTTGGTTCTCTTTGAAGCTGCCCAGCTCTGTAACTGTTTCATGGCTCTGTAATTGCTCCTTGACCCCTGTAACCACGAGAGTGTAACCAAACATTCAGGATGCTTGATTGTACCAAGCTGTGTGGTCATTAATCTAGACTTGTAACTGATGGCCATTAATCTAGGCCTGAAACCGATGACCTCACCCGGCTAGCTAATCAGAACTGCCAGCTGTCCTGTCCCACCTTTGTAACCCCCGCTTATGCCTCATATAAAAATGCTGGCTCGAAGACACTCACTGCCTGGCGTTAGTTGGAAGTTATTCCAGCCGGGACCGCCGGTGTGAAATAACGCTGCTCACTGCCTCCTGACTTCCTTGGGTGTCATTCTTTTCCTGGACTCAGTTTTGCTCCAACAAAATGACTGTGTAGGGGGCGGGGGATTTAGCTCAGTGGCACAGTGCCTGCCTGGCAGGTGCAAGGTTGTTAGTTCGATTCCCGGCACAGGGGGAAAAAAAAAAAAAAAAACTGTGTATCACAAACAAATACAATACCAGTAAAAAAATTAGTACAGGAGGGAGGTGATGTGGAGACATGAACTGATTACTTTGGGGGAAAAAAATTTTTTTTGGTGCTTGGGGCCAAATTCAGGGCCTTGCACATGTTAGGCGTATGATGTAATACTGAGCTACACCCCAGTGCCAGAAAAAAATGTTTAGATCCCCACCTCAAAGCAAGAATATATTCCTTTTTTTTTCTCAGTCACTCATAATATTTATTCACATACAGAATATATATATATATATATATATACATATATATACACAAAAAACACACAAATCAGGTAATTAATATATTCACTTATTCATTCTCATAGTTTTTAAATCTCCAACTAACATCTATTGCTTAACTAGACATCGTGCTTACACATTGCTTGAAATAAAATGAGCCAGTTGAACACATCTCTACATTATCTTTACAAATGCTATTAAAATACTGACTTAATATCTTTAAAAATCCTCAGGCTAGAAATGAAGATCATGGCACATTTGGTGATTCTGACTCACCAGTCAATGGTTATATCCATGATTTCCTCTTGTACAGCATATCATAATTCACAAGGAACTTTTTCCAAATTTGATCACCGGTTCCTGACAAAAACCCTTTTCAGGATATACAAAGAGGACCTGTATTTTAAGCCATTTTCCTGAAGCAAGCTTAAACTTAGACTGTCAGTTGACTACTTCCAAACCAAGAATATATTCCTGAAAAATTAAACATTTAATAGTTTATAAATTAAATTCCAAATATTTAAAAATTTCAAAAGCGTTGACCAGCTAGTAAAAGTGAATAGTTACATGGTTGTAGACATTCACAGATCCTGCGGGGAGCTTCCTAAGGCGTCCCTCCCAGGAGTACTAGGGTTGCCAGACTATGCCTTTTGAATGGGTTTAGGCAGATGGCTGAATAGTCTACAAAGCCTGGAAAAAATAGAGGAAAATGGGAAATCGAACAAATAATAGAGCCTTCCCTGTGATAGTTAAATAAAATAATCTAAGGTGCTCAGACAGTGCCTAACAAAGAAATATTAGTGCTGGTGGTTTCCTAACAGTCTGTGAGTCCCCGCCCACGCAGTTGTTCTAGAATTGGTGATTCGGCCCCCAAAGGGGAAAAAACGCTAACGAACCTGCACCTTTAAGAAAATTGCCACTAAGGCAGCTCTGGCGGGAGCAGCTACCGCAGCTTCTGCACGCCCCCGCGCCGCCAAGATGCCCAAGAGGAAGGTCAGCTCGGCCGGTGGAGCCCAAGAGGAAGTGGCGAGGTTGTCCGATAAACCTGCTCCTGCAAAAGTGGAAACGAAGCCACAAAAGGCAGCGGGAAAGGATAAATCTTCAGACAAAAAAGGGCAAGCACAGGGGCAAAGGGGAGCCAAGGGAAAACAGGCCGAAGTGGCTAATCAGGAAACCAAGATAGCTCAGTGGCATGAGCGCCTGCCTGGCAAGCCCCCGGTACCAAAAAAAAGAAAAAGAAAATTAAGAAACCAAGGAAGATTTACCTGCGGAAAATGGAGACTCAACCGAGGAGAGTGCAGCCTCTGACAAGCAGAAGAGAAAGACGCCAAGCCCGATTAATCACACACTGCGCCTTATCAGTCTCCCTTGAGCAATCAGGAGGAGTGTTTTCATCAATTATTTTGCAAATCCAAGTTTTTCAATAGCTCTGGGAACATTTTTACAAAGGAGGGAATCTTACCTCATTGCACTTCTTTTTTTTTTTAGCAGTGAAATCATTTGCTGGTTGTTAATTTTTTGATACAACCAGAAAATAGTGGCAATTTGAACTTTCGCAGGCTTTGACTGTCCCGGGTGTCAGCTGACATCCCCTGGGTGGGGGTTAGTTTTACGTCCTGCCGTACAAAGCATGCTAAATGGCAATTTGGACTCACAGTCATGCATTTAATATATCTTGGATATTTTAAATGACTTCTATTCCCTCTCATGTTGTTTTTAGTAGAATTGTTTCCTAAAGAACACTACTTCCTGAATGTTGCCCTGTCAGAATCCCATGCGCTCTGTAACATCTTTTGGTCCCGGCCCTCCAGTTTGCCTAATTTTGTTAATGTGCTATGAAAGATGGAAAATTTGAGTGTAGTGTATGTGATGTGAAATTGTGGCTTAAGTCACACTGCGTCCGCATTTGAAGATACTTGGTACTTACTCCTCTTAGGGAAAATTTCCCTCCAGGTTTGAAGCTGCAAAGTCACTGGACTAACTGAAAAAGAAACACTTGGCCCTTCCAGCCATCATACCTCAGTGAAAGGAGTCACTGGTGAGGAGGTAATATGCTATTTTTGACAACCCTTAGGCTGTAACTCCTTAATAGGTCCCTCTTGCATATC